GGAAATTAGGAAGTACACTTTTCAGATCGACCAATGACCTGACAATGAACAGGATAACTAATATGTTAAAATACAGAACTAAAAAAATAATAATAATAATAAAATAAAAAAATAAATAAAATAAAATAAAATAAAATAAAATACAGAACTAAAATTCAAATATATCAAGGCACCTGGGTGGCTCAGTGGTTGAGAGTCTGCCTTCGGCTCAGAGCATGACCCCGGGGTCCCGGGATCGAGTCCCGCATCGGGCTCCCCGCAGGGAGCCTGATTCTCCCTCTTCCTGTGTCTCTGCCTCTCTCTCTGTGTCTCTCATGAATAAATAAGTAATTTTTTTAAAAAAGAGATTGAGGGAGGTGGGTAATCTTAGGCTGCATTAATAAATAAATTCACAAAAGCTGGACTCACAGGATATAATAATCCCACTTTGTCTTCAGTGATCATACCCCCAAGCAGGTTGTAATGCTGATTGGTCCAATAATATGATTTTAAAGATGGAAAATCAACACTTGGAGAGGTTAAAAAGACAAACAACAACAACAAAATAAAACAAAACCTGCCCACCACTACAAGACTTGCAGTGCAAAGTCAGCTAGGACCCAGTTATACCTAGACCATTAATAACACCCACTGTCTTATGGCTCCTCCAAGCCATATTGGCATTGCCTTATCTATGAGTAGAATGTGCTCAGGAACATAATTTCTCTTCACAAATTTTCTCCAGCAGTTTGGCCAATATATATATAAAAATGGCTCCGGAGAATTCAAATAGGATTTTTAGGATATAATAATTTCTATAATACTCATATATTCAGTTTGAAAAGCATTTATGGGGCTCATACCATGTGCCTGGCACCAAGGTGGGTGCAGGAACTACTTAACAAGACAGTCCTTGCCCTCTAATCACCCACAGTCCAAAGGAGGAGACAACAGTCAATAAAATTTAATTCTTATTACCCATCATAATATGAAACAGTTATAACTACAAAGTACATGGTATAGTATGATTGTTTGTGTCCCCCCCAAAACTCCACCCCCATGTTGAAAATCTAATACCAAAGGTAATGGTATTAGGAGGTGGGTCCTTTGGGAGGTGAATGATACATAAATATAATAGTTACATTTATGTAACTATTTATTATTTATTATTTATTATTTTATATATTATATATATATTTATGTAATAATGTTACATGGATCCAATATAATATAATATAATGGATAAATATAGTTATATTTATGTAACTATTTATTATTTATTATTTATTATTTTATATATATATATTTATGTAATAATGTTACATGGGGTATCCTCATGACTGGAATTCGGGCCCTAATAAAAGAGACCTCAGAGAGCATGCTCACCCCTTCCATATATGAAGATATAATCTCTGTGACCTGGGCCCTCACCCGACCACCCTGGTACCCTGATCTTGGGCTTCTGACTCCAGAACTATGATAAATATATTTCCATTGTTTATAAACCACCTAATCTGGGCTATTTTTGTTACAGCAGCTCAAATTGACTACGACAGTACAGAAGTCATAAAATGGAGGGAGCTGTCAGAGACATCAAGGAAGGCCTCAGAGAGGAAAGGATAGTCTACTTAAATTTACATCATACCCTGGACGCTTCTTTTATTTTGTTAACAAACGGATTAGCACTTAACTTTTGGGAAGAGAGCATGAAAAGGAATCTGAGGTGTAATCCCAGTGCAGCCCGTGTACTAAATGAAATGTGATGCAGACTAAGTGTGATACTAAATGCGATACAGAAGATTGGGAAAATATTTTAAAAATAAGTCTCACACAATAAACACATGAAGGAAAGACTAAACTGCAAAAATTCTGCAAATTCTTCAAATACAAAGGCTTCGTAAATACACTGACAACATGGCGCATGCCAGGGAAAGACTTAAATGTGAGAAAAGTAGTCCCCTCTTCTTTCATTTTTGCTTTTCCTCCTTTTAAAAACCAAATGGGGCATCTAGGTGGTGCAGTCAGTGAAGGATCTGACTCTTGGTTTCAGCTCAGGTCTGATCTCAGGGTCCTGGGATTGAGCCTTGAGCCAGGCTCAGCGCTCAGTGTGGAGTCTCCTTGAGTTTCTCTCTCCCTCTCCTTCTGCCCCTTTCCCCCACTTGCACTCATCTGTCTCAAATAAATAAATAAATCTAATAAAATGTAAGAAGGGAAGGAAGGAAGGAAAAGAGAAAAGAGAAGAAAAGAGAAGAAAAGAAAGAAAGAAAAGAAAAGAAAAGAAAAGAAAAGAAAGAAAAGAAAAGAAAAGAAAAAGAAAAGAAAGAAAAGAAAAAAGAAAAGAAAAGAAAAGAAAGAAAAGAAAAGAAAAAGAAAGAAAGAAAAGAAAAGAAAAGAAAAGAAAAGAAAAGAAAAGAAAAGAAAAGAAAGAAAAAAGAAAGAAAAGAGGAAACCAAATGGGTATGGACTCCAGGCACTATCTCCACCAGAATAAATTCCCACCAAATTAGTAGGCTTTGGTCTGTTATTGTTTTATTCTTTTTGAGCTACTGAAAGCAAGGTTTTTTTATCTTTTCTTTTTTTAAAAGATTATTTATTTATTTATCTATTCATGAGAGACACCCAGAGAGAGGCAGAGGGAGAAGCAGGCTCCCTGCGGGGAGCCCAATGCAGGACTCGATCCCGGGACCCCGGGCCCCGCACCCTGGGCCGAAGGCGGACGCTCAACCACTGAGCCACCCAGGCGTCCCGACGTTTTTATCTTTTAAATGGACTGTATGTTGCTAAAACTCTCTGGGTGCTCTGAAAGCGAGTCCAGCTGCATTGCAGTAGGAAAGCTGTGTGAGGCGCCCTGCTCGTCCCGCGTTCCCTTCCCCGCCTATGAGGAGCTGTGAAGTACCCGTTTTCCTTGCTTGGAAATGTCACTGGGAAGTTCTAGGGGAGGGCACAGTTCACTGCTGGTCAGGAGGAGGCCCTCGTCCTCTCGTGGAGGCTCCGAGGTGTAGACGAGGTGTAGACGAGGTGAACAGGGTGGCCGGCAGGTGTAGCCCGGCTCAGCCTATGGTGCCTCTCGCTGGCCACGACGCTCATCATCTCTCCGAGGGTCTCTCCCTCACTTCTTTGCCCATCGGAATCTTACTCACCCTTCCCCTTCTGCTGTGAGATTTGCCTCAAACTCCACTTTAAAACTAAGTTCCCACCACAGCGTTCAACCATCGCAGCCCCTATCCCATTCACCCTCACGTTACGGTCGGCGCTTACACATCTGCCTCCCTCACTTCTTGGAAGTAAGAACTGATCTAATTTATCTGTGGTTTTTCTCTGTTGGCATGGAGCAGAGGTCTTTACAGTTAGTAAACCCTTGGTAGGCTGCGTTCTATTAACTTCCATCTTTGGACAAAAGAGACAGTCTGGGCACCTGGGTGGCTCCGCGGTGGAGCGTCTCCCTTGGGCTCAGGGCACGACCCCAGGTCCTGAGATCGAGTCCCACATCGGGGTCCCCGCAGGGAGCCTGATTCTCCCTCGGCCTGGGTCTCTGCCTCTCTCTGTGTGTCTCATGAATAAATAAATAAAATATTTTTTAAAAGAGTCTGATAAATTCATTTTCAGCAACAGTTAAGCAGATTGCCTAACTTCCCACTAAATTTGGCCCTTAAACTCGCAGTATCGTGCAATCGGTTCTTGCATATGTGTTATCAGTCTAGCAAGATCGATCCCTAGGTCACTAAGAGGGTAGCCACACATTAGTGCAGGCCGTCCCACTTCTGTGATTCTTCATATGTCTACAACTTCTAGCGCTACCCACAGAGCAATGACTCCCAAAGTTCCCACCTCTGGCCCTCTCCTAGCTCCTAAGTTCCAAAACTGCTCTGTTAGTTATCCCCTCACATACTCATCTGAATGTCTCACAGACGACATAAATACAACATGACAACCATTTTCTCCAAAAAGTCATACCAGCTTCTTGGAGCCAGCAGGTGATCACCACTATAGGTGATGTGAAGCATTCCGGAAGCCTCTCCACTTAGCCTAACTTTTCCACGATAAGAGTTATTCCTTTGGATTAGGGTATACGATCTCTATTGGATGGACACAACAGAGTAGATAAATTAGTGTTAGTAGATTCGTTATGTCTCCTTCATTGGCAATGTAAGGAAAGAAAAGGTCTCCTGACTTTACACCACTTCCTAATGAGAGAGGGTTGCTGGCAAGTTCTAGGAGAGAAAACAACATCTGTTTGGTCCTATACCTTGTCTAAACCCACAGAGGGCCCATTTTATCTCCCTGCTAAGTTTAAGCTAGGAAAGGGTCAGCAACTTCTCCGAGAAGCGTAGAACCCAGAGCAAACCACTAGATACAAATGCAAACGTGTGTGCGTGTGCCTCCAAACGCACACACATAGAGGCAAATACAGGTAAAACCTTACGCAGATGAACATTAAGACCAATCCCATTCAGTGGAGCCCAAATTTTAACCAGGCAAGACAGTGATAAACAGGAGGTAGGGATGTTCCACAGGGAGGAAGAACAAAGGTGAGCCACTCTCAGCAACGGCCGTCGAAAGCCCCAGGAGAACGTACGGAGGGAGACAGTTACCATCAGCCACCCCATCTTATGCTTAACACACACACACACACCCCAACTCTATGGGACAAGTGAGTACCGTTAACACCAGCAGCTGGTACCATCTCCTCCTCACCCTGACTCCTGTCACCACCTCAGGCCTGAAGTCATCACGTAGCCCAACACCTAGTCTCAGGGCAGAAGAGAACAGCATCAGACTGCGACCCTTCTTGGCCATCCACGTCTTACCCTAATCCAAGCTGTCCTGGATAAAAACAACCCACCTCAAATCGCTTTTGGAAATAGCCTACATATAGATGAAAGTCATACAAAGATTAAAATATAGGAAAAATAAATAAATAAAATAAAATAAAATATATGTATGTTCCCTCCAGGGGGCCAAGCCGTCATTCTTCTGAGTGTCCCGTTCCACCAGGGCAATTGCACTTTCACTGTCCTTACCTGTGCTTTGCTTCCATCCTTTGCTTCCATCCTTAGGCATCTTGGTCAACAGTTCTTCTCTACTCTCCCACTGAAACAAAGTAAAACAACATTTTAACCCTCTCTCCCAACCCTCCCCCAAGAAAATCATGCTTTTTAAGAGCCAAATATAATTAAAAAAAAAAAAAAAAGCAGCACTTTGTTTTACACGCCTGCACTGACTGCTTGCAATGTCTTACAATTCATTGAGAGAACCACTAGGCTCACTGGGCTGCCTTCGGCATTGTTTTGAATTTTTGCTCTTCAAAAAAACTCCCATGTAAATTGTTTTAGCGGTCCTAATCACTTTGATAGCTCGGGCTAACTTGGAAGACATCTGGAAGCTTTGGCCTGATGAAAACTGCCCGCACGCTTGCTTCTTATGTTGTTCTTTCCCTAAGCTCTCAGATTAGTAGATGCGTGACCTGAGAAGGCCACTTTGCAATTTAGGTGCGGTCTTATCTCTCCTCTTGGTGTCATCATTGATACTCTAGGAGTTGGCCCTGGAGGCTTAGGGAAGCCAAGTGTCTGACCAAGACCCCGTGAGTGGCCGAATGAGTGTCCTCAGGCCTACTTCCAGATGCAGCCTCCCAGCAGAGCCTCAGAAGGGTCCCGGAGGGCGGACGAAGGTGTCCTGGGCCTTTGCTGACAGAGTCCTTCCTAACTTGAATGGGAAGAACGCCCTTGCACAAGGTGACACGTTTGGTCTTCAAGAACCCAGAAGCCACTTTTTCTTTCCTCATCGTCTTACCCAACTTGAGAGCGAATAAAACATGTAGAAGTAGGACTCAAAAAGTCATTGAGGAAAAAAGCAAATTTCTATAAGTAGCATCACATTTACCCTTGATTTTCGTTAAGTAATACTCCCACAAAAGAAACATCTCGTGCATAAGACATATAAAGAATGTGACAAGCCATTTGAAATCCTGTATTTGTGGCAAAGCATTAATGACTATCAAAAGAAAAAAGGGAATGCCATTGAAATGACCTCCTCAAATTTCAAGCATGGAAGTCTTCTGAAGTAAAGTCAGCAGAAAGGGAGGTAAATGGTGGTTATTACACTTTTAAGGTCAGCCCACCTCATGCTAACGCAAACAGTCCATTTCTAAGCTGTGAACATGGTCATCTGCACTGCATCCTTATTAGCTCAAGTGAAGGCCCATACAGCTCTCCAGATGTTTATTCTGGAGCTTTTGTAAATTTTTCATGGAGAAATTTGTTCCACTGGGCACACTAATTAAAAAAAATTACTTGAAAAAAAATTAAAAATAAATAAAAAATAAAATAAAAAAATTACTTGCCATGTCTTAACTGTGACTGAGAATGAGAAGGGTAAAGCTTTTCCCAGAATGAGATTTTTTTTTTAATGCAAGATCAGCCTGTCCTTATTTTGTAATATCTTTCAGCAGTTGGAAAATTTTTTTTCACCTTTAAACCATTAGGTGGAAGACACTAAGTGTGAAAGTATTTTTCACCTGCAACTACCCGTGCTTAGAATCTCCTTTTGCAGCTGTTGCTCATGACCAAATCTCACACCCCAGTTGTTGCCCCTCCCCATTGATAAATAAATGAAAAAAATTTTAATTTAATAAGGAGGAGCCTTATTAAATAATAATAATTAATATTTACTATTAATTTTAAATATTATAATTTTATAATATAATATATTATATTATATAATTTAAATATTATCATTTTATAATGATAAAATATATAATAATTTAAATATTAATATTAAAATTAAATAAATTTAAATTATTAAATTTAATAAGGAGCCACCTGGGTGACTCAGTCAGTTAAGCATCTGCCTTTGGCTCAGGTTATGATCTCAGGGTCCTGGGATCGAGTTCTGTATTGGGCTCCCCGCTCAACAGGGAGTCTGCTTCTCCCTCTGCCTCTACCTCCCTCTGCCTTCTGCCCACTCCCACCCCGGCCCCACTCATGCTTTCTCTCTCCCTCTCCAATAAATAAACACAATTAAAAAGGAAAGATTGCAAAAAGAACTGTTAGGAGGCTTTCGCTGCTCCTTTCAACCCCGTTAGAGCTGAGAGGTCAACCTAGACTCCCGAGCCCTGAGCGGATAGGAAAATAAAAGTGAAGAAAGGCAGGTGTTTTATGTCCTGTCATTCTGAATGTTTAAAACCCGAGAGGACGACCTGGGGAGTCGGGTAGTCAGCCTCCCGTCGGGGCGGCCAGCCGGAGGCACCGTCAGGAGAGGCCAGGAGAGGCCGGGAGAGGCCGGGAGAGGCCGGGCGGGAGCACTACTGCCCGGGCCCAGAGAGCTCCCCGAAGGCCAGAGGCGCCGGGGTGGACGGCTTCGCAGATGCCAGGCTGCCAACGCTTGGGGAAGCAGCCAAACGAGTGCACCAGTCTCCACGTGGGCAGAATGACCCTTTCCTTTCGAGAAAGCCCTCCCCTCCCTACTTCTCTGCCCCCCCCAGGGGTAAACTGAGCAAGCTTCCCGAGCACTAGCGCTGGAGGAAGGGGGGAGTCCTATCATCCTGATGATGCGCTATCAGGCCTAGGTACAGTTTTTGGAGAAGATCTCCTTACTCCTTTCCTCTAGGGGGAATCCTTATCTAGACTTTTCCGGAATTCATTTCGTTTAAAATATGATTGACACAAGATCAATCGATGGCAGGCCGCACCGCTTTCTAGCACCGCAAAGTGAATGGTGAAAAAAAAAAAAAAAAAAGTCTGGCCATGTTGTAAATCCATTAGAATAAATGAATGGTTCCACTGACATACTCAAAATAAATATGTGCCTGTCATAAATGTAATTAAATAATTCAGTGGAAAAATTAAATGTTGAAACAATTACCCACATGGTTTGAAGCATTATGAAAATATTATGGAAAAGGAAAAATGGGAGCTGTTATTAATAGAACATGGAGATTTTCATGTCTTTGGGTTTTTTTTTTCTCCCCTCATTCCCTCAAAGTGAAAGGAAAAAAAGAAAATAATATTTACAAAGTGCCTTTTATGCGCCACTAAGTACTTTCGTATCCATCATCTCGTTTGATTATCAGAATAAGCTTTCCGGTTCATTTGACAGAGAAGGTAAAGAGAAGTGAAGCCTAGAGGGGTCGGATGCCAGGCCCGTGACCAGGCGGGCGGCCGCTGGCTGAGCTGGCATGCCACGCACGCTCCGTGGGACTCCGTCCCTGCCACGCGGCCTGTCACCCCGGCCCCGGCCTACCCGCCTCTGCAGGAGGCAACCCTCTTCTGCCCGCGCTGCCTTGTCTTGTCTCCTCCCCACTCCCCAGCAGCCAGGGGTCCCCGATTCCTTTCCTGGCCCAATGACCATGTCCTTGACTTCTATTTAATGTCTAACTTCCAAGGGTAAAGGATCAGTAATGTAAAAAATAATAATAATTAAAAGAGAACAAGAGGCAAATAATGCCATTGGGGGCTCTCGCTCTCCGTCTCTCTCTCTCTCTCTCTCTCTCTCTCTCTCTGCCTACAGAAATCTGCCTATTAATATAAGTCCCTGGTGGGGAGAAGGTACTGGGAGGGCAGCCAACAGTAAGTGGGAGTGGGTGTGGGAAAATGCAAAAGAAAGAAGGAAAGCTGCTAAAAAAGACTGGCCATATGTAGCGAATTATAAATTCTCTGGCTGCAAACACAATTTCTGCAAGTCCGGGGCCTCTTAAGGGAGCACACCTCGGACACTCTGCAAGAACCACCGGGCAGGACGTGGGGGCTGCCTGGAGACCAAACCATCCAAGATGTGACTCTTCCCCAGAGTCTGGGCGGCTGTGAGCAACAGGTGGGGGGACTTAACCCACCTGGTGTTAACCCAGATAATGATACCGCGCCACGGCTACCTCCCGACCCCCGCTCAGCTCCAGCCTCTGAAATCGCTGACACCCTGGCACCATCCAAACCTTGGAGGTCTCTGAAAGTGTCCCAAAAGATTTTATTAGCCCCGATTTCGGTCATCAAAGAACACAGATGGGGAGTAGAGGCAACTCCTGTGTTCTGATTAACAAGGACCGCTCTGCAGCAGCGTGCACCGACAACACTCTTCTGCAAAGCGGAAGCCAAGCAACTACCTGGTGTGGCTTGAAAGTCCCTTACCCACAACGTGCCTCTCTCTTACCCTGAAACTGCCTGAAATGCCCATATCACCTTCTCTTTTCCTAATGAAACGCCCCAAGATCCCTGTTAAGGTGCAACCATGATCCTGGAAAATTCAACAAGGAGCTAATGCTGGCTGCCAACACGGCAGGTCAAGGACGTTTACTGGAATGGTTTAAGGTTACCCACCAGGGAGGAGGCACGGTGACCCCCGGATGCAGAGCAGAAGACACCAGGACCACCTGAGGACAAAGCCAGCCTGGTGCGGCCTACGGTCTTCAAGCGGGCCTGGCTCCTGAGAGGAGAGAGAACACAGGTAAAGGCCAGTCCCACAGCGGGCGGCGCTTCGATGCGACTCTTCACTACCAACGTTACAGGCCCGCCTCTTGGCAGCACGTGGCGTGGTTTTATCCAGTGAGTTCCAGCTACGAGCTTCCTCCCTTTCTGTCCTCTTCCAGGTTCGCTGTGAGTTTAAATGGCGGCGAAGGGAGGTGTAGAGATGGTTCCACCAGTTCCGGCATATGGGGCGGGGGGGGGCTTGGTTCCACCTTCCAAGCGGCCCCCCGCACAGCGAGGAGGCCCTGTCAGAAGCCACAGCACTCAGGCTCCAGAAGCTAAACAGGGCTTCTTTCCAGTCCGCAGACCCTGGACACGTTTCCAATACAGAACGGGATTTGTTTTGACTTTCAGACAACTTTTCAGTTGTACTGGGTCAAGTGGCCCTTTACCATGTCTGGGTGTCTGCACGCTCTCACCACTTTTTGCACATATATGAAGATACTCGCAGGCCTTCACTTTCCTCGGGTGCTAGGATACCCATATGTTCCAGAGACTCGGGCTCCAACACGGAGACCAATTCTACGTGGTTTCCAACCTCTTTATCTCTTTCTTCTGTATTTTAGGGTATCATGACGTTGTAAGCTATTCGAGATTCTTTTTTGAGGTCAGGCAGCGTAAAACTCATGAGATAAATACTAACTGGGAAGATTTCTTCACATGCAAACGCTCTGCACGGTGCGGCACAGTGAAAGGCCCTCGGGATGGGAGGTGGAGACCAGGTCCTGGTGGTGACCTGCCACTACCAGCAGAGCTCCGAGCCCCACAGGGCCTCTGTCCTGCCTGTGTAGTGAGGCGCGCGGAGTGGGGAGCTCTCTGAGGACCACGCCAGATGCCTGAATCTATATTTGGAAAAGGCTTATTAAAGAGCGTTTTGTCACCTGTCTACTTCCTCTCTTCGGAAATCTTTCTCATCTACAGTATGTGTCTAAAATGAGTAGCCGAGACAAGAGGTGATGACACATCTCACGTCAGGAAATACTATGAAAACAGAGCCGAGCAGACATCGGGAGCACCATGAGATGTGGAGCCTCTTTCTGGCTTCGAATTCTTCACTCCACATACAGTTCTAATTGACCACACAAAAAGGTCCTATCTCTTTGAACCTTGCAATTATCTCTTTTTCTCCCCCTCTTTGTAATCATCAGCCCAAGTACAAGTTGATTGTGGTCATGCTGCCGCACGTCAATGTGGTCGATGGGCCTGTCGGTGAATGAGCTTGGGTAGCTTTGCCCCCACGGAAGGAAATGCTGAAAATACTGAACAGCCAGGACAGGGTCCCATCCAATCAGAACGGGCACCCAATCAACAGCACAGACATGGGCTGGCCTGCCACACAGCTGCGTCCCAGCTGACTGTCAGCCCTGCCTGCTCCCACCCGGACTCCTGTTCTGGCTCCTCGCAGAGGAAGGAGGACACAGAGATTGGGTTGCTGGTGCTGGGCTTGCAACTCTGGCCCCGGCGACCCCAGCACTTCCCAGTGACAGGATTTACTTGCAAAGTGCTGTAATATGCAAGACAGGTGCTTGAGGGGATCCCTGGGTGGCTCAGGGGTTTAGCGCCTGCCTTTGGCCCAGGGTGTGATCTTGGAGTCCCAGAATCGAGTCCCATGTCAGGCTCCCTGCATGGAGCCTGCTTCTCCCTCTGCCTGTGTGTCTCTGCCTCACTCTCTCTGTATCTCTCTCTCTCATGAATAAATAAAAACAAAATTAAAAAAAAGAAAAAAGACAGGTGCTTGAATAAGGAGATACGGTCTCCGACTACCTATCATCTATCTATCCAGCCAGCCATCCCTTCCCTTTCTCTTCCTCCTCCCAGGTCCCCACACACACCCTTTCTGTCTTTATGCTAATAATATTGTAAGGGCCACAAAACAAATAAAAATTAGATTCTCTTTTTTATAAAGATTTTATTTATTTATTTGAGAGAGAGACAGAGAAAGAGTGCATGCAAGCCAGGGGAAGGACAGAGGGAGAGGGAGAAACAGACCCACCCACTGAACAGGAAGCCCAATGCAGGACTCAATCCCAAGAGTCCTGGGATTACGACCTGAGCCAAGGGCACCGACTGAGCCACCCGGGTGACCCCAAATTTAGGTTCTTAACAACAGCTTCTCTCTAACTATATGACTCCCCTGTCCCATCCCACTGGCCTCACCCATCTGAAATAATTGTCATTCTAATTGAATGTTGAACCCATGTTCAACTTTCAGGTGGCAGTTTTTTTTTTTGTTTTCATTTTCATTTTCTTGGGGGGGTAGGGTAGTTTTATTGCATTTATACTTGTTCACAAAAATCATATTTTTATTTTGGTTGTTCTGATACCATAATAATTACATCATGTTGTTTTCTCTCTTTTGGAACTCCTTTTTAGCTAACCGTTACATTGCAAAGATTCGCCTATATGGTCGCACTGAGGGCTATTTTTAAAGAGACCTCCATTATCTGATTAAAAAAAAAAAAGGGACCCAAACTCATTGTAGAAACTCTAGAAAACACACACCAAAAAAATTCAAAGAAGAAAATAAAATTTATCATAATCCTATATTTCTTCTGGTCTTTGTCTTTCCAATACACACATTATTTTTTTCTCAAAAACTGGGATCCTGTTGCATAAACAATAAATAAACAAGTAAATAGGTAATTACAAATTTTGATAAGTGCAGTGATGGAAAGAAACCGAGTACAGTTTATTTTCTGTGTAGTAATGGGTAGAAGTCACTGAATTGTATATATGTCTGGGCAAATTTTATGGTATGTGAATTATATCTCCATAAAGCTACTTTTAAAAAAGAATAGGACAGAGGACCACCTTAAAGTAGACAAGGAAAAGTTCTAGTATACATTATACAGAAAGAGAAGCTGGCAAGGCAATTAATATTTGAAATACATTTGGTTTGTTGCTGTCCATGCTCTTGGGAGACCTACTATTTTCATTAACAATGTGGTTTTTGTCTTATTTTTCCATTTTTTTATTCTTTTCTAAAATTATTTTTCTTTTACTTATTTTAATAGCAATGTGTTTTATTATACCATTTCTTGTTGGCATTATTTTAAAAACTGTTTTCTTTAAATAAGAACTGTCATGCCAAAACCCTAGAATACTAGCTATCAACATTTCATACATAAGTCATATTTGTAACCTGAGCACACAAAAGAATAAAACAGATTTTCTCAGATTTTATGCTGAAGAATCTATTTAGGTAAATCATTTCCACATTAACGCTTGAGAAAATTCTCACTATATGCTGATCACTTGAGAGGTCAACAGCCATCTTATAATGAAAGTAAAATCCCTTTTGTTACTACAGTTAACTATAATCGGGACTTGTACTAATGACTCGTGTAAAGTACTTCCCGCAGGGTCTCTATGAATTCCATCATCATTTTACAGGTAAGGACTGTAGCCCTGCGAGGTAGACAGTTTGTCAAAGTGAATCATGTGCAGCTGGGATATCAGTTCATTATTGCTGGTTCAGAGTTATCCACACAGTACAAAGCAGAGATTCAGCAAATATCAAGTTAAATGCCTCAATACAGACAGCCCAGTTGAATAACTCGATTACCATCCGAGATCTGACCAATGTAAACAGATTGGCAGAAAAATTATAGTTGGCAGAGACCAATATAACCATATTAGTCAAGACTCTTTCGATTATAGTTAGAGAAATCCAATTAAACCAGCACTTTTTAAAGGAGTACATATTAGAATCCCATAATTAGAAAAGGCAGGGGCATTCCTAGTTTTAGCCATCACTGAGGTATAGGTAATATCATCAGGAATCTGCCTCTTGCCCTCTATCTCTTAGCCCTGCTTCCTCTATGTTGACTCCTTTCTCAGACTGTTTCTCTCCGAAAGCAGCAAAGAGGGCCACTGGCAGCTTTAGACTTAAACTTGTCCTTATAGCCCATGAACCACCAAAAAGACACCTACCTCATCCCTGATAGTTCCAGCAAGAGCCCCAGCACAGGCTCAGACAGGCAGGCGGAGTCAGGTGTCCACTCTGGAGCCATCACAGCAGTCCAGTCGACGGAGTATTTTGATGGCCCCAAGCCTGGATCATATGCCCACCTCTGGGTACAGAGGTTGCAGTGCATCCCATCAGAATTCAAGGCCTGAAAACTGGGAAGGAATGGCACCCACAGAGATGTCAGACAGACAAAAAAAAACTTGGCCCTCTACAATGACTACGGCCCATGGTTTACTCCTCTGATAATAAAGACTGCAGCTGTTGGCTTTGGAAACGTATCAAGTGTCAAGTCTCAACTTCACAAACTATCCTCTTATAACCTGAGACTGTAAAACCATTAGTCTCAAATCATAGCCAGAGGAAAACTTTAGGGAAGGCCTGCATGGGCCACCTCAGCTCTGAAATATCTGGGATGGGATACCTCTGAGTGCTAGAGCACTGGCTCCTGGTTCAGCATATGTGTCTGCATATGGGTGTCCTGGCATTCAGCACTGGTGTATCAGCACAGCTCCACTACAGCTTCCTGACTTGGGATGCAAAGCTGTGAAATTCAACGAAACAGAATAACATCTTGGAAGCATTCATATTCTTTTGATGTACATGTGAAAACATTAAGATGAATATCTTTTTGGCAACTTGATGTCATACAAAGGGACCAAGATTTCTGTAGACGATAAGTACTGGCACCTTAGTTTTTAGATAGATCTCTCTAGAGCTTATTTTTTTTCTTAATACTGTATTATATACCAGCTATCTAAGGCAAAAAAAAAAAAAAGTTCACGTCAACATGTTTGTTTCTTTGGAAATACAGAAATAATTGAATTTATAGCTGCAGTATATAACTTATCATTTAGCATGATACCCCTGTCACAACAAGGTATCTTCTGAAACAAACATTCTAGAAAATCAGATTGTCTCCGACCAGGTTCCTACTAGTGAGTCCCAGAATACATAATATCTGTATAGTGCCCCATACCGAGGATTTTAATGCCCCACAAAGAAAAATGTCCTTCTATTAACAAACCAACAGTGTAACACCATGACCAATTTGAATAGCCCAACTCTTGAGTCCTCCAGCAAGAGAGAAGTCTTTGATAAGGAAAAGGGGTTCCAGCTTGAGCCTAAGCTGTGCCTGTGGCTAGAATTCAGACTTCTGGGGTCATGTCTGAAAAATAAGTGGAGCAACTCAACTAGAAAGCATTGGCTTGAGAGACTGGAGTGAGAAACTAGTTGAAAATAATTCACCCTGAGGTGAAAACATTTGCATGAGCTTGGCCCAACATCAATGTCCCAGTCTTAGAGGGCACAGCATGGTGTCAGTCTATGAAAAAGAAAAAAAAAAGAAGAAAGAAAAGAAAAGAAGAAAGAAAGAAAGAAAGAAAAAGAGAAAGAAAGAAAGAAAAAGAGAAAGGAGAGAGAGAAGAAAGACAAAATCTCTATAAAAGGATTTCTGTTAAAAACGATGGACAAGACTCATACTCAAGATTCTGCTCCATCCCAAAACCCCAGTAAAATAACAATAAAAAGATTTTCCTAAAGGTATAAGCCCATAAGGATAGATGTGAAGATGGGAGAGTTGATAACAGCAAAAATATTTAGGGAGCTAGAAGCTGATGAAAAAAAAAGGGAAATTGACATCACAAAACAAAAAAAGCTGAATCCTATTCTGGCCTTTAGGGAAAGCCAGGAGCAACCCCAATTTATCCCTCAGAACCTCCAAAAGGCTTGGGCACCTCTAGAAATAAGGAAAGAGGACAGGCTAAAACAGATTTCTTCAAAAGTCTTTAGCTCCCCACCCTCCCCTTCACTAACAAGGCTTATTCTCTAGAAACAGGTCTCTGGGTTGGGAGACAACAGCGCCATTGAGGGTGTGTGTACCACACTGGAAACAGGAAGATGAAGTAAAAACAGGAAGATGTTGAGACTCCCAGGCTGTTCTCTCACTCAGCTCCCATCATGCGAACAGTCAGGCTTACACCCCCTGACAGGGGTTTGGAAGAGCCTTCCCCAACCAGCTCAAGAGAAAAATTATTTCTAATTAATTAACTTCAGAAATCCCCCCACAAACAGCGCAGTCAGATCACCCTCCAGTACACCACACACACACACACACACACACACACACACACACAAGGGTTTCCAACCTGCTCCTGATACTCCATTTCTGCCTATGAGCAGGCAATTAAGGATACCAGCTCTTGGAGAACTTCTATTATGAAAGACAGAAACAAAAGAAACAAAAAGAAAAAACACCCTAGAAGAAGCAGACTATGCAGGTAAAGGAAACTTCAAGAAAATCTATCAGTAATGGCCTCAAAGAGTTAAGGGAAAATACTGCACTTATGAATACAAAAAAAAAATCTGATTTTTAATGTTTTCAAAGTACAACAGAAAGACTTAGAAAATAAAAATGTGAGAGTAGAAATGAAAAGCTCATTTAAAGGGCTAGAAGTTGGGATCCCTGGGTGGCGCAGCGGTTTGGCGCCTGCCTTTGGCCCAGGGCGCGATCCTGGGGACCCGGGACCGAATCCCACGTCGGGCTCCCGGTACATGGAGCCTGCTTCTCCCTCTGCCTGTGTCTCTGCCCCTCTCTCTCTCTCTGTAACTATCATAAATAAATAAAAATTTAAAAAAATTTTAAAAAAAGGGCTAGAAGTTAAAATTCAAGAAGTTTCTCAGGAAGTGCAACCAAAAAAAAAAAAAAAAAAGAAGAAAGTAGAAAACAAAGTTAATTTATAAGTAAAAGAAAAATATATATATTGAAACACCTTGATATACAAAAAACAAATATATCAACATATATATGAATATACACAAATACATATGAGACACCTCCATAATCCATGCACCAAAAAATATGCGGGAGGGTGTATACGTATATTTATGTGCTATATATGTTAATCACCTAGATATTGTAAGCCACCATGGAAATCTTATAATTTCCTCTTCTAAGCAGCTAATCAAGAACGCTGGACCAAATGGACGCGGGAGAGGGAGAGAGGAGGAACTGGCAAGCACGTGAAGGTGGAAGACTGCCAACCCAAACATCATCGCCAGATCCCTAGAATCTCGATGGTGATGGCGAAGGGTGAACAGCAATGACCAGGGCGCCCTCTCTTTGGGAGCCACCCTGGGTCGCAGTTTGGGACTTAACTATGAAATCCAAATTAGAAAAAAAAAAATCATGCCCACTTAGATTCTTTAATCAGAGCATTTCAAGAGCTTGGTTCCAGCCCCTCAAGCGGAGAAGCTGCATTTGCGCTGGGCCACTCAGGCCACATGCACACACAGTGGGGAGTCGGCTTCCCTCCGTGCGCACAGTGCTCAAGTTATTTGCAGCACATAGCTGGGAGGGTTAGGGGGTGTGCCTGGTATTATTCCCATGGCACTAGCACAAAACCGTGGAATTCCAGAGTGGGGACACTCCAGAGCGTGGCAGCAAACACAGAGGTACGGCTCCAGGGATCTGTGGGTGGTAAACACAGACTAGAGAACCAAAGGTGAAGGCATGACCTACGTGAGCCCTGCACCCAACCCACTCCCACAGCACCATAGCATGCATTTACCCCGTGCAATGGGGGCAAAATAAACACCCAGGGCAGAGGAGACATATATAGACTTATAGACCTATAAGTCTATAGGTCTATAGACTCTGAGACTTATAGACCACCGTCCTTCTGGCTGAATCCCAATTCACGTAACCAAAAATGATTTCAAAATAATGCAAACACCATGAAGGACATTAAATCCCATTGACACTTCCTAACACTTTCTTCCTTCTCCCTCTATTTCCTTCACAAACTAGAATTGCTCCCAAATCCTTCTCCCCAAATGCTCTTCCGGCCCTTGGCCCCCAGATGCCCCTTGGGATAGTTCACCTTCCTTCCACCAGGCCCAGAAAAGCAGGATCCTGCTCAGGAATGGGGACGGGTTTAAAAACTGGAAGTATTCTTATACTAGTGACCTTTATTCTCTCCTATTCTAAGAAAGAAATAGGGAAGGCATTAGCCAAAGAGTTCTTCTAAGGTGGTGGTGGTGGTGGTGGTGGTGGGGTGTGTGTGTGTGTTTCTGTAAGACAGGAGAAATTTAACCATGTCTTAAGAGAGGTAAAATTGTTGGGTACACCTAACATTATATAAACTGGATTTAGGAAAAGAAAATTGCTGTTGAGAAGTTGTGGAGAAGGAATAATGTAAACTCATAACCTGGTCAAGTCTATTCACACAGACAGCTTTAACACCAGTGCAAACACAATGAATAAATATATTCAACATCAATAAAGCCGAGCCGAAGTTGAAAAGGAACTTGGAAAATCAAAAATCCTGTTGTTTGGGATAAATTTTCTCCAGTGGATCGAAAGCCAGCTTTGGGGGCAGCCCGCAAAGAGAACAGATGGCTAGAGATACGACCATTGGCTCACGTTGGCTACTTCGGGCCTGCTAGGAAAAACTTAGAAAAGAAAAACCATAATAAGACTGGGTTTATTATATTTCACTTGTAATTCTTTTATTTTGGTGAGATATTCTTTCCTTTGACTTGACCACACAAGTAACATGTGGTTTTGTTTATCACATTGTGAAAGGAAAGAAAACTGGAACAGAGGTGCAAAGCACAGAGGGCAGTGGTGTGAGATGCTTTGTTCTACACTGACATGAAATCAAGTCCCCCAAAATACACGAAAACCGTAAAAAACACAGTGTCCATAAAAGAAACATTTTTCTCTTAATATTAAATGGGTCTTTTCCAAGTTGCTGCAATAAGCCAGTATGGCTTTTATAATCACTTTTATAAAAAGAGCTTTTAAAAATATTGAATGGGCCTCCCCTCTTTGCTTCCTTAACCTCCCAACAACCCAACAACGTAGGCCCGCGACACCACTCACAGTTGACAGTTCTCGGTAGCTCCAGACATACAAGTCGGCGAATTCCTTGATGACAAGACCAGCGCTTGAGAGACTTCACTGGAAATGCCCGCAGCGCCTGCCGTGTGACCACGCCGTGTGACATGTGGCCACGCAAGGAGAGAATACAGGGGGAGCAAGTGCTCAGAGCAATAGTGAGAACAAGAGTAAGAGCCCATCACACCGGTCGCTTGGGTGCTTTCCTTGAAAGAAAAACACTTTACTCTCCAGAGACTTCCATTCCAAAAATAAAGGAAAACACGCGCGGTCCAGAATACATGGAAATACTCAGAGACTGAAAAATAAATATATGTTGACCTTTAGTCTAGCAGGCACATTGTCAATAGACTTCCTCGAGACGAGCCCTGCCCCACTCTCTTCAGCTTCCCAGGTGCTCCCAAGGAGTCAGAAGGAGTCCCGGCCCCTTGCCTTCCCCAAACGCAAATCTGGAGGATTTCCAGGCTGAGGCCGAGCTGCATGGGATGGGCTGCCTCCAGAGAACCTGGGCGCGAAATCTGAGATCCCGCTGACTCGTACTTTCCTTTTGAATAGCAGAATGACGTCCTCCTTCACTTGCATTTTTGGTTTGTTTGTTTCACATATTACCATTATATATAGTCTCCACTTT